TTACATCTCAGACTGCAACAATCATTGATAATATATTCACTAACAATAAGGATGATGTCAGGAAAACAGGGATATTAATGACGGATATTAGTGACCGCCTACCTGTTTTCGCAATCTTCAAATACAAACATTCCATAAAACAAAACATCACCATGAACTACAGAAGAGATAAATCAGTTAAAGCCATGGAGGCATTAAGCAAAGATCTTAATAAACAAAAGTAGAAGGAGGTATACGTCAGTGATGTCAACGCTGCATACACATCCTTCATGAAAATACTGTTGAAGTCATATAATGATAACGGCAAATTAATCAAATCCACAGGTAAAAGGGAAAATCAGCCTTGGATGACTAAGGGATTAAAGAATGCGTGTGCAAAAAATAATAATTTATATAGGAGTTTTTTTTTATTGCAAACAAGGGAATCAGAAGATAGATATAAAAAATATAAAAATAAATTGGTAACAATAATTAGGAAGCAAAAAAAAGATTATTATGGTAATCTATTGAATCAGAATAAAAATAACACAAAAGTTATTTGGGGAATAATAAACAGTGTGACTAATAGAGAAAACAAACTCCAGTATTCCAAATCACTTTGTCAAGAACAAAAAAAGACATTTATGATGATAAAGACATCACTGATGAGTTTAATGATTTTTTTGTAAATGTAGGTAGGAGTTTGACGGAAAACAAACCAATAATAGAAGCTAAATTGACCACAATGATTAGTACTGTCAATAGTATTGTCCTTGACAAAACAGATAAAGAAGAAATACGAAACATTGTAAGAAACTGTGGAAACAAACGATGAACCGATTATCAGGACCTGGACAAGATAACTGTTAAAACCATCATAGAATCTGTCATTGAACCATTCACTTACATTTGTAATCTATCACTTTCTACTAGAAATTTTCCCGACGCAATGAAACAAACAGCGAAAGTCATTCCTTTGTACAAGAGTGGTGATAAACATAGTTTCAATAATTACAGGCCGGTGTCACTGCTTCCACAGTTTTCTAACATATTGGAAAAAGTATTTGTATCAAGGTTGGATAAATTCATCAAAAAATAATATTTTAAACAATGAACAGTATGGGTTTAGAACTAAACATTCCACAGCAATGGCAACAATGGAATTAAAGGATAAAATATGAACAGCAATTGACAATAAAATGATTTTGTTAGTGTTTTCATTGATTTGAAAAAAGCATTTGACATCATTGATCACTCAAGGTTACTTCGAAAATTAAGTCAGTATGTGTTACAACCAGGTGTCTAGGGGGCCTGGGGTAACATGGAGGACGCGTGACACAAAGGAAAATTAACAAAGGTTTTATTTACTTTCTCTTAATTCAGAAAAGATGACTATTATTCTTTTAACCACCACGGATCTAAATCCACTTTTACCAAAACAGGTTCAAACAGTAAGAGCACAATATCGAAGTTCTAAGTGGGAGACAACAGACCAGAGGAAAGGCAGCTCTGCACTATTGTCCCCCTTGGTGAGGAGCTCCAGCTGGTCCTTTAAACAATTTGCGGCTGATGAAAACCCAGCTCAGCTGGTGCAGGGAGGAGCAAGGGTGAGCCAACATAGTCTGCAGGCAGGCTCCTCAGATGCAACATAAAATGCACAGAAAAATGAAATCACAACACAAAAAGGCTCCAGCCGTAACACTTCCCCCCATAAAGCCTAAGGTCTACACCTTTGGGTACAAAAAACAAAACAACAAACACTGCTACATCTCATTCTCCAGGTTGGGCTAAACCAAAATCTTTTGTGCCTTTGCTGCTTGTCATCTTACTTAATAAGTGGCCAAAGCACGGAATTTGTAAAGCGAAGGTCTCTGTACACTACTCACAGATAAATCATAATGGTTTCTTTTTATTTTTCCTCTTTATTTTGGCTGGTCCACAAAACCCAGCATCAAACACGGGCGGCTCAGGCTCAGCAGCACGTCTGTCCATTTCACAGGAGCCTGTGTTTTTGTTTCCTGCAATGAGACCATTAGGAGTAGAAACTGACATGTTTTCTACCCCCTTAGCTTGAGGTTTTGACCAGGCAGGTGGAACCATCAAGTCCCCAGCGATGTCATTTCCCAACAGGAGAACGACGCCATCCACTGGTAGGGAG